ACTGCTACCATGGCCTATTCGACTGGTCTTCCTGTTTTACTTCCTGCTCTCCCTGCTGCGATTAGAAGGCGGATGCCCCGCCTCTATTCCTCTCTTCACCGGGCCATGGGATCGACCGATCGCGATCGTTCTGACACAGCGACCGATGGGCTGGTAATGCCGATGCGACAAGCGGATGGTCTTCGCATAGTGGCACCATTCTCAACACCGGACTTGGGCTATTGTAGACCGCCATCGTCGGCGGCGAGCGACTTGGGGGCCGAAGAGCCTCCGCGCCCTGCGACTGCGGGGAGTAGTGTTTGTCCGGAGTCGTGCGATTCCACGTCCTCGGCTTCGTCTTCGTCGGGGAAGACATTGGAGGCCTTGGATCTCGACGAGGGGAGAGATGGCGATGCGATGGATAGGGGGTCGATACTAGCGAAGTACGAGGTTGAGTCCGGGTTGCGGTGGAATCGGGTGGTTCCTGGTATGCATCTTACCTCTTCTCGATTCTATGAGCGATCGTACGTGATGGAAAAGTATGCTAATATTGGCAACAGCGTTGAATCTTCTCCGCAACGCGGGGTACGAAGCTCAGCAACCCACCTGCGACGGCCGCTTCGTCCGCTCCCTGTACATCAATGCGCTGGGGTACCTGCTCGACGCTCTGCCGGCTGATCTGACTGACGAGGAATTATTGACCATTCACCACAATCTTCCCGCCAGGGTCAAGACCACGCTTGCGACGTCCGCGGCTGCGCAGCCTGGAGCCGGAGCCGGTGATACCATGGTCAATCAGGGCGCTGGGACACGGTATCCAACGGAGCGCTCGTATCTGCATCGTTTACTGGCATCTAGTATCGTGCAGCTTTTTCTCATCGTGCAGTTCTTGCTGCCGTATGTGAAGATCTTGCTGCATCAGGTGTATCGGTATGAGAGGTCGCATCGGATCACCGAGCGTCTTGTGACCGCGACATTAGATGCTGCTGATAGTCTGGGCAAGGGGAGTGTCAATCTGGGGTCGACGGTGCTTCGACTGAATGAGGGAAAGGTCGGGACAGCGTTTACGAATTTAGCAGCCTGGTGGGTGGAGGGAATTGCTGGTGGCATCTATGAGGGAGTTGGAGAAGGAATGATGATTTTGGGGCTGATTCGGCCCAATTCTGAGTGGGAGAGGATGCCTATTCAGATGCAGGGGCGATGATTACGATGTGCAACCATAGATTATGATCTATTAGAACGATACATAGACTCATATAGAATCTGAGACGAATTGATGACTTCAAACCATTCTCTACACTCCTCTGTTGATCCTCGATATGACCGCGGAGATAACGGACTTAGGATCTTGGTTGTGTGTGCCAATGTCCACCATGGCGTCTCTCATCAACTACAGGAGGAATCATAAGCCCAAACTCGTTTTGAACAATTGACCGACCCATCAGCACAATGTCCTCATCCAGACTACCAAATATCCCTGCTCTCCGTAGACAACAACTCCTGCTTGAATTGTGAGTATGACTGCCTCTCCTTGAACGGTACCGGCAATGTTATGTTTGCTAAGCGTCCGTCCTGCAGTGCCAGCTTGAAACATGCAGCTCCCCCGGGAATCTACATTTCCATCACGCCAGGCGATCCCACCCTGTGGTCAGGCGTGATATTTGTGCGGTCGGGTATATTTGCCCCGGCCTCATTGTCTGCATAGACTCGAATTGACTCAATCACAGGCCCCTATGCCTCTGCTGTCCTCCGATTCCAGATCCGATTTCCCGACTCCTATCCCGAGCTTCCGCCCCTCGTCACCTTTTCGACTGATGTTTTCCATCCTTTAATTGTACCCCTCACTACATATACATTCAGCACGGGCGCGTCGACTGAAGACCCTGTTAGTGCGACGGACGAGGAGCGACTACCCCCCGGTGGATTCAGTCTCCGACATGGCTTTCCTCACTGGTTTGGGCGGGCAAGGAAGGCAGGACAACTGTCAACAGGTTCATCCAGGCCAGTGAGTGCGAATGGACGGAAAGCTGGTGAAGGGGAGACAACAACGGCGGATGGCCCTTCTTCTCCTTCCTCACGTCAGCCCAAAGGTGCAGAGGAAGGCGAGGATCTCACCAAGGACAAAGGAACCGCTTCGGATGCAAGAAAAACAGTACCAGTAGCAGTGCTGCTGAACTATATCCGATCAACGTTTGACGATGAGAACGTCCTTGACTCTTTGCCTCTCGAAGCTGCGGGAAACCCAAGCGCGTGGCACGCATGGAAGGCACACAGAAGAGAGAATAGCGAATCGGCGACGAGCAACTCAAAACGAGGGAGTCCGCAGGCTCGGCTTCCTGGTGATTGGCATTGGGACGGTATTTGGGCGAAGCGTGTTCAGTATGAGATTGAGACGAGTCATTCGGATCAAATATTGTTCGGAAATGCTGCTCGAGGGGCCACCGATGAGATGGTATGTATGCTCGATTGTCTTCCATGGTTACGTACTGACGCCTACCTGTTAGATACGCTTTTCTCGTCTGGACGATGCCACGTTGGCTTCGATCAAGGAGATGATTATTCCTCCAGTCGGGGAAGCACATGAATAGTTTCTTTCCCGGATATAATTTCACTAATGCTGGCTGGTCGTCGGCTGCCGTTATCCTTGAAAAGCGACGAATACATTACCCTGACGTCGCTGCCTGGGAGATGTTCTTCCCAGACTTAGAGCACATCCCAACTCGCACTTGCCGTTAATATTCGCCCCCAGGGACAGTCTTCAATACCTGTCTCACTCTTGATCTTCCCAAATGCAGGGAACATCCTCTAATTGTCAGCATACCAGTCCCAATTGCATCTTAGAGACGTTTTGGATAACACTAGTCATGTCTAACGACTGGTTCTATCGATACCAAACTACTATTCTCGCTGTCGTCCTAGTTTTCGTCCCTATCATTGTGATCTGCAGCATCTTCATGACTGCTCTTGCATGCTCCGAATACTGGTCTACACGACGAGGCTGCAGTTTCTCCTACTTTACTTGCATCTGTGGTCTCCGGTCAAGAAGTCAGCGCCAGAGGAATCATTCTAATATTGATGACGCCAACTCCTCTGAGAGGACTCAATCTTCGCGGCCCTCGGCTGAAAACAAGAATCCGGTCTTGAGAACTGAGCAAGCCTAGAGATGCCGTTAGCTGTTCGCGTACGCTCCTATCGCAGGAACTTCCACGTTTATGCGCTGACTGTGCTTAAGACTGCGCGGGACATTGCTCATGATAATGCCGTGGTCGGGTCTTCAGACACAGAAGCCGGCGCCATCCTCCTCGAAGCATTCATCTTACTCCGCGGCGAGCCTGGAGATTCTGTCACATGAACCAAGGTGGAAATGGAGGCAGCATGCTATGCAGGACTTGCCAGCCCAACGTATATAAACGCTGTTATCTGGATGGGAGGGTGCTGCCTCTGATCACAGGAGTTCCTCATGTTGATGTATCTTTACCGTTTGTTGAACCAAAAGTCGCTGCAAATCCCGTTGTGCTTTCGCCAGCCGAAGTGGATGCATCACGATAGCAGTTGCTTCTCATGAGACTAGACTACAATGCTGTCTATAACCTGGATTGAAGGTTGAGCACTTATGTGTTGTTCAGATGACTGCTTCAATGTCCTGTTGCTTTTGACGTTGCAGGGCGTTGTTCTCTTTGTTGCTGCTGTACATAGTTTGAGTGACTGTTCCTACCAGCATACCACACATATCCAAAAATAAAATAGTTACAGCTTTAGTACTTGCCAATGTATAAGGTAGCTGATGGTCAAAATATAAGTGATCAATCGGGCTACCGAATGAGTCAAGCGCCTTCTCCAATTGGGGTATATTATCGTTCATGTACCCCACACCAACAAGGTCAACTTTTGCTTCAGACAACATTTATTATCACACGCTCCTCGCACCTCTTCACTTCCACAAAAGAACAAACAAGGCAATGGCCGACTCCAAAGACAACCTTCTGTCGCAGGTCGACGACACCATCCCCGAACCCCCACCAGCCTATGATGCCAGCGCCGCGCCCACCCCTCGCCTTCCACGCCCACCACCTCTCTCCCTCCCCGTCCTCAACACCCTCCGCTCAAAACGCGTAATCCTCGCCTCGGCCTCCCCCCGGCGCCGCCAGATCCTCTCCCTCCTGGGCCTCCCCTTCGAAGTCATCCCCAGCAATGCCGCCGAGGACTTCCCCAAGACAATGGAACCCTTCGAGTACGTCCTCGCGACGGCAACCAAGAAAGCACATGCGGTGTACACCGCCGAAATCAACAACGAGGAGAAGGGCGAGCCGGCGCTGATCCTGGCCGCTGATACCGTCGTGGTGGATAACCTCTCCGGCTCGATCCTGGAGAAGCCGCGCTCGGAGGCGCAGCACATCGCCATGCTGAAGATGCTGCGCGATAATCGGGTGCATAAGGTGTACACGGCGATGGTGGCGATGGCGCCGCTGGAGAGCGCGCGGCAGCCGGGGTATGCGCTTGAGACGCACATCGAGGAGACGGATGTGGTGTTTGATCGGGAGGTGACGGATGATTTTATTGTGGCGTATGTGCGGACGAGGGAGGGGGCGGATAAGGCGGGCGGGTATGGGTTGCAGGGCTTGGGGTCGATTCTCGTGGAGAGTATCCAGGGGAGCTGGGATAATGTTGTTGGGTTGCCTTTGAAGGCGGCGTTGAGGTTGATTGAGAAGGTGGTGGCTAAGGCGGATGATGAGGATGGGGATGAGATGTTGGAGGATGAGGAGGAGGAGTAAGGAATAGACAGGTTGAGTTGATGATATCCTTTGGTATGATACTACGCTGGTCGTTCGCTATAGATTCCATCGATGTGAAAAGGGCAATGGTATAGAGAAAGTCTTCGGTTTACATTTTATAGCTCGGCCAGCAGCAGGCTAGGCTTGACGAGACAAAATAGAAAATTTGGCACATGTACATAGGCAGACGCCTGGGGAAGAATCATCGAAATCAAACGCAAAACTCAAACAACACCCTCAAAGATCGGTCTATGCCTTCCACACCCGCTTGATGGCCTCTGTGACACCAACGTCGTTTGTCTCGAATTCATACAGACCGACGGCGGTGGTAACAGTGAAAGCACGCAGTAGCCAGTTCATGAACGTCTTGGTCTTGGGGACGCGGCGCTTGGGGAAGTAGTCGATGATAGAAGCACTGTGACGTGTTAGTCCCGACTGTCTGTAAACGGTCGAACCGCTAGAACATACTGGAAACCAATGTGGGAATGGACGACCAGCAGAGCGCAGAGGACGGAGTCCATGACGGGGTTCAGGGAGCCGGCAGCGAAGGGGGCGATGGTCAGAGGGATCAGTCCGAGAGAAACGAGTCTAGATCCGTATCAGCGTCGATTGCCTAGATTATTCCCCTCCATCTGGGTCTTCATAGACCAAGTTACGCATCTGTACGCACCTCTCGAACGTCCAGTGGTAGCTACCCTCCGAAGGGTGAGGCTTGGGAATAGGAGCAGGGTCGTTCACTGCGAGAGTCTTGTGTCAGTCCATCGTTCTTCTGTTTCGAGTATGAACGCTGGATGTATCGAATGCTGCGGACTGCGAATTTGGCTGGATAACGGCGTGTATTTCGGTCCCGCATCTCAAACAGTATTGATGCTGTTAACGAAGGGGTTTTTTGACATACTTGTTCCCTGAATGACCTCTATACACAACATGTTAGCTCTACTTCATCCCATACACCCCTCCCGATCCACGCAACATTCCCGCAATCACCGCTTATCACCATCATAACCCTCATAAACAGATCAAGGAGTAACTCACGAGGCTGAGGAGGCAGAATCTGCTTCTTCGCAGAAGCATGGAAGGCCACAACCTGCGACACGTTCTTGTTCACCAAGGGCGACCGAAAGGCAGACAGGCAAGAGTGCCTAGAAAGGAGGGACTGGCGCGCAATCGAAGCCATCGTGACGATATGCTGAGAACCCAATCCAAACAATATCCTAAAGCGAGCTGCACTGCAGACCTGAGGGTGTTTAGGAGTCCTGAACCTAAGGTAGTAATTCGACATGCACGCTTGAGATCGTGAGGTTGAATTGGAACCTCGGGAATCCAATTCGGGATGCGGTCATCACATTGTGCGCACTCTGATTCGCTAGTGGCTCTCCGCCCAGCCGAAAATGGCCGATGTTCCGGCAGATGGATTTGTATGTTGTCTTTTGAATGCTTCAGCTGTCGACTGCTCAGCATTGTACTTTTGACTTAAATATGTCGATATTTGTGTACAGATACTGAGTCTACAGAGCTGTTTCCGGGCTACATGATTTCACTGACAATCGCAGCGGAAGTCGCGGACGTCAATTACCGGGGACCAAATCTGAAGAATGTTTTTGCGCCAGGCATATGTAATTCATTTTCGCTCATATCTCGTCATAATGTGTCTATGAGATGATTATACTATTAACATGCAGTATTTTCCACCGAATTACCTCCCATCTAGAACTTCAGAACGGCCTTGCCCTTGTTCTTACCGTGGAAGATACCCACCAGACCCTCGGCGGCGTTGTCAATGCCGGTGGTCTCGTGCAGGAGAGACTTGAAGGACCCCTCCTTGATCCACTTCTGCACGTTCTTCTGGTGCTCTGCAGTGTACTTGTCACCCATGCCAGGGTCGCTGACGATGAAGCCACGCATATCAATACGCTTGATCAGCACGTTGTGGATGTTCTTGATGGGGTAAGGAGCGGCGTTGTATTGGGAGATCAGGCCGCAGACAACAACACGACCGAAGTTGTTCATGGCGTCCAGGGCGGCCTCGAGGTGCTCGCCACCGACATTCTCGTAGTAGATGTCGATACCCTGGGGCGCCAGGCGGGCCAGAGCATCAGCGGGCTTTTCCTTCTTGTAGTTGAAACCGCCGTCAAAGCCAAGGTCCTTGGTGATGTACTCGAGCTTCTCATCGGAACCAACACTACCAATGACCTTGAGACCCTCGTGCTTAGCCAGCTGACCAACCAGCTGACCGACAGCGCCGCTGGCAGCGGAGACGAAGATTGTCTCGCCCTTCTTGGGCTTACCGATCTCGTAAAGGGAAGAGTAGGCGGTCAGACCGGGCATACCCAGAGCGCCAAGGAACACACGGATGTCCTCAATACTAAGGGGGTTCTCTAGAGGGCGGATGCGGGCAACCTGGGAACCATCGAGGACGATGTACTCCTGGATGGGGACAAAGCCGATGACCAGATCACCTTCCTTGAAGGAAGCATTGTTGGAGCGGAGGACCTTGGCAATCGTCGAGCTGTCGATGGGCTTTCCAAGCTCAAGAGCGGGAGAGTAGGACTTTACGTGAGCCTCACGCATGCGGCCACGCATGTAGGGGTCGAAGCTGGTGTAGAGCGACTGTAGGACAACGCCATTCTCGGGGGCAGGTGTGTTGGCATCATAGTCGACAGGCTCGACGGTAAGGTGCTCGCCGGGGACGGGGTATCCTTCAGGGACTTTCTTGAAGATAAGGGCTTTGTTTGAGCTCATTTTGGCAGTAAGTGTATGAAGTGTATGGAGAGTATTGAGGGAATGATGTGTAAAGAAAGCTTCTAGAGGGGTCTCGATAATAAATAGTTAGTCTGTAGCTACGAAGAGCAGATCTGATTTATATACTGTACCACCCTAATAGCCTAGGTAGCACACTTTCCCAAGAAGATAAAGCGGGGCAAGAGTCAAATTCAACGAGATTGAATAATGATAAATCTGCCTGGATTATCAAGCAGCGAACACCAGAGAAGCTTCTTGAGAAATCAAAAAGATGGAAAGTACCTAGGCAACTCGTCTGGTCGAGGGCTCCTTAGCAGCGGAGTGGCTCCCAGACCAACGTACCAGCCGGAGACTTAAGGTACCATATTCTCATGGGACCAGTCTTCATAGCTGGATAAGTGGAGCTATCGGGGGGATTCGTGTCCATCTCCGACGGGTGAAGGACACGTTCTAGGAAAGAGAACCGTTCATTGAGACTGGCGAGTGGCATGGGTGTTGCGCAAGGATGAACGGCAAGGCGAAACATCATGATTTTTGTACGGAGGTGTTCCCTAAAGCAGCCATGCAGCCACGCCTATGAATATTGGGGATGATCACTAATAATGCAGTTTAATGCATTGCCTCGGCCGCAGGCATCGATATTTTGCTTAATAATAATAATAATAATACTAACTACGACATGGTATGATTATTATTCTGGTCTGAGTCCCTATAGTGAGAAATTAGCTAGATATAGACAGAGAGGTAAGCACCTTAAAGTAGTAGACTATTGCCACATTACCTTCCTAGATGCATTACAGATGAAGTCATAATTCGCGTAAGTTGCATCTCATTGTTGGCATTAGTAAGATCATTGCGTGTTGACTAGCCGCTTCGTTTCAGACTTAACTTGATCTCTAGGTCTAGTAGACTAATCTTCATAGATTCGGTCTTCGTTATTGATGTTGTTCGATAGCCAATCTGGATTATGGATAGTTCAAGAACAGTTCACGCCACATGTTTGATACTAGGACTCGATGTACATCTGCGCCCCCATTTTCAAGGGTTTTATGGAGGAGATGCAGTTCCCAATCACTTGAACAGCTCAAACCCTCAAACGTGCACGCGAGCGCTTGTTCTCTGTCTTCGATCTGGAGTATCAAGTCAACGGTGCATTCGATCACCTGGTGGGAAAACTCGAAGGAAGGACTCCGTGATACAACACCATCATTATCACCCAACCTCGACGGTTGTGCTCCGTAGACATATCGAACTCAATAATTCTCAGAAGTCAGAACAATGGCACTAATCTACTGTCGAAATTCTATTTATCAGAAGATGCCTCCGCAATCTCCTATAGAGACAGATGCTACGGACTCATGCTGTTGTTAATTTTGCGCACAATAGACATGACTGAGAGTCTGTAGCATTGGATAGTAGAATGTAAGTCACACCGTACTTTGACCCGTCACCTGTGCGATCGTCTATCCCTGATGCTGCTGAACATCACCACACCTATCTACATGGTGCTTCTTGGTGGATGTTGTGCCTGAGGCCGCTCGGCCAATCATAATACATTCGCCCAAATCTCACCGCCTGCAGCCTCGAACTTTTTCTGCCGCTATTTTTCCCTTTTCCCAGAATGATTTGAAGTTTCAGACTGTGGCTAATCCTGCATCAGCCAACATTATTCTGAGATTGTTTTCATCTCGATTTTTGTTTTTCTGGGTTTAATTGCTGATATAGAATATCAATTATATCCCTCCTCTACTGATTTAATGATGCTTGGCGCAGTTCGCCGTTATGGCGTTGTCCACGCTCTGCGAGCCTCCGTCCCCCGGGCCCTCTGCAGACCGTCGAATTCGCATCTCTTAAGATGCCAGACTTCTCCCGTCACAGCCTTCCCTCAGTCCGTTCGATTGCTGCATAAGTCGTCGCCTTTCTTTTCATCGGCGTCCGCTCAAGCACAGGCGCAACCTGATGACTTCGAGCCGGCTGCTCCGCAGGAGCCATTGACCGAGTTCGCCGACTTGGCTGAGCAGGGACTGGTGGACCCAAAAATCATTCGCGCAATTGTTAAAGATATGAAAATCAAAACTATGACCGATGTCCAAAGCCAGACCTTGCGTGAAATTCTGCAAGGAGATGATGTGTCAGTATATGCTCTCGCCCCTCAAAGCCCTTTGACCTAAACTAACCGTGCATCTCTTTCTACAGTTTGGCCCAGGCAAAGACCGGTACTGGAAAAACCCTTGCCTTTCTCACGCCGGTATTTCAGAATATCATGAAAGACCCGTCCTCCTTAAAGGGGCTGAACCGGAAGCGGTCACAGGTGACTTCCTCCGACATTCGCGCGATTATCATCTCCCCTACTCGCGAGCTGGCAGAGCAGATTGCTGTGGAGGCTCGGAGGTTAGCGGCTCACTCGGGTGTCATTGTGCAGACTGCAGTTGGTGGCACTCAGAAGCGCGAGGGTCTTCGTCGCATCCAAAGAGAGGGATGCCATGTGTTGATCGGCACTCCAGGTCGGCTCAAGGATGTCCTCTCCGACACTTACAATGGTGTCACGGCCCCCAATCTGTCCACTCTGGTACTGGACGAAGCAGATCGTTTGCTGGATGATGGGTTCTCGGAAGATATCATCCAGATCCAGCGTCTTCTTCCGGACCCCATGAAGGTCGACCGTCAAACGCTCATGTTCTCCGCGACGGTTCCAAAGGAAGTCATGCGAATGGTCCGTCAGACCATGAAGCCTAACTTCAAGTTCGTCAAGACCGTGCGAGATGACGAAGTCCCTACGCATCTCACAGTTCCTCAGAAATACGTTATTCTCAGAGGCTACGAGAATGCCATGCCTGCTCTTCTTGAGTTTGTGACGAAATACGTCGAAGGGGAAAAGGAGAATCCGAATCAGCGCCCGTTCAAGGCAATTGTCTATTTCAACTCAACCGTGCAGACTAATTTGGTCTATGAGACTTTCCGCAACATAGTCGAGCAGCGTCATCATCCGCTACGCCGGGCGGGTGTTCGTGTCTACGAAATTCATTCCCAGCTTACTCAGGCTCGGAGAACACGCTCCTCTGACTTTTTCCGGGCCGCTAAGTCTGCCATCCTTTTCTCGTCCGATGTGACAGCTCGTGGCATGGACTTCCCCGATGTGACTCACGTGTTCCAAATCAGTATCCCCAGGGACCGAGCCACCTACGTTCATCGTCTGGGCCGCACGGCGCGTGCAAATAAGACCGGCGAGGGCTGGGTTCTCACACACCGAGGAGAGCTGCCTGAGTTCGACAAGCAACTAGAAGGCATCCCAATCAACCTGGACAGGCAGACCTTCACGACGGCTGAGGTCGATATGAGCAAGCCCGACCTCGACCCCGAGTCCCCCGCAACTAAATTTATCAAGGAGGTCAAGGAAGCCGTGCAAGAAGTTCCAGAAGACCTGAAGAGGCGAGCATACATGGCCCAAGTTGGCCCCTTGAGAGGTTATTTTGCTCGCAAGCGGGACCTGATCCAGGCCATCAACAACTGTGTTGTGCACGGCTATGGCCTGCCTGAACCTCCATACATGAGTCCGACCACTGCCCGTAATCTGGGACTCGATCGAGTACCTGGTGTTCGTGTTGCGGACAACCGCCGTTCCAGCGACGACATGTCGACCGGACGTGACTATCGCAGAGGCGATCGCGATAACTACGCTGGTAACTCTCGCCGTGACCGCGGGTTCAATTCCGACCGCCGAGAGTCAAGGTTTGGCAATCGCCGCAACGCCGATGATTTCTCCAGAGGCCGCCGACATGCCGACAGAGACAGCTACTAGACCTATTTTCCGTTTCTCAGGTCCAGTTAATTGAGTGAGTCTCACACAGCCGATCCGCTTTGAATTTGACAGAGAGATTGCATTGGGCGGCGTTATACGATCTAACAGGACACTTCTCATCTCCTCCTATGTTTTATTTCACCTGGGACTTCTGGATTGTGGAATGTTCGTTGGGTTTGAATACTCGTGATGATATGGCTTGACTACCCATCTTAGTGTGTATTATAGAGATTCCAATGTGTATTATTGATACTGTTGTTCGCTGTGGATTTTGATCTGGACATAGAGTATGCAACATGTCAAGGAACAATTCTGGCCAAGTTAGATTTGAAAGTGATTCTTTTTATTCAAAATCGGCATAGGACAAAAAATGCAAGTAGAATAGGGTTAGCTTTTACGGACTTCACATCGGTAATTATGCATTCTTCAAAGTCCATATCAAGGTATCAAGTTCAAATGACAAGAGCCGACCAGGGAACAGGGAGTCGCTCTACTAAATGCGACTCTCAGAGAGTAAAAATGCGACAAAAGAAAATCCCAGAGCGCCACAACTATCCAGCCTGCGTTCCAGGCATTGCCAGAAACCCAGCGACCACCCCCAATTTTCGCTGGAAAAAGCACCAAAGCCAGGCAGGTAATTGCCCGGCTTTTTATCGCATAACCCAAACAATACACATATCCCATAACACAAAGTCATAACCCATGAAAAATGAGGTTGCGTCTCATTGTGCCCATGTCTGGCAGTCAGCGACGACAACCCGCAACCGCAATGCCGAGACCTCGGCTGGTGTCCAGGAACCCCGTCAGCGCATTCGGATGCGATGCTCATCACGTTCGAAACGCATCGTCAATGTGTCCGCCTCTGCTCTCGATCTCAGCAATAAGCTCCTGCCTCTCCTGTAGCTTCAAGTGTATGAAGTCCACCGTTTTGCGGAGCACGATGCTCTCGCTCCGGCCCTGGCCTTCCAGCCCCGGCACCAACTCCGTAAGCCGATCGAAGCCCTCTCTGATCGCGGCTCGTCGCTTCTGTTCCGAGGCGATGTGGTTGTTCTTCTTTTCTTGTTCTGTGAGGCGTGGTTTATCCCGGTCAGTCGCTGTGCCTGTGCCTGAGATGGCCGCTTGCTTGGAGGATGAGGGGCCGGTGGGGGTGGTGGAGGAGCGAGTATGAGCGTCCTCTGCTGTTGTGCTTGCGCTGGCAGGAATGGGAGAACAGGATGGTTCGGAGGAGCTGGAGGCGAGGGATGCTGGTGGTTGTGCAGATGGCATGTTGCTTTTCCCTTTTTTTCCCTTCTTATATTGGTGGTGGGATTATTTTGCGATCAAATTGCTGTGACAGGTTGAAGCATGTGACTGTCCTTTTTCATGTGACACACTGAGTGCGGAGGACCAGTGGTCTATAAGAAGGCCACTGAAGAACGAAAACAAACAAACAAGCGGAAAATCAGAAACAGAAATAATGAGTGACAGGGTTAGAGGAATAACTGGATTGGAGTCTTGAGGGTTGTAGAAATCAAAAGCATGTTGAGAGAAAGAGAAGACCGTTCTGGCTCTGGAGGATCCAAGGATCAACAAACCTAGGTAGTAGCGTGCGGAGAATCGATCCCCATAGTCTAGTGTTTCGAACCTCCAATTTTCAGTAGTGTTTCTACTCCTTCTTTCTTGGTCTCACGTTGATTCTCACTAACTAGATAAGTCCTAGCTATTATTTCGTACCCGCTGCACAGTACAGTCGAGTCTCGACTTAAGACACTAGTCGGAAAATAGAAATCCGCGTCGCCGTTAGCCGCCAGATGAGGTTGGCCAAGCCTCTGGGATCCGCTGTCTAGGCCTCTTCACGTCATCGGGACCCTTATCGAATATCTCCCCATACGAACAGACAATCCCGAGTTACTTCAATTTTTCTGTTCTTTCTTCATTGAAACTGCTTCTGAGCAGCTTCCTGTATCTTTAAATTTGTCTTCCTCTATCATCCTGCTCACAACTACTATTCAATCGGACATCGCGGCGTCGATCTATGACTTCATACTAGACAAGCTCAACTTAGGACGTCTGCACTTGATAATAGCCTGATTCAGAATATGAGCACTCATACGCCACTTCGCGGCTCCTGCTTATGCGGTCGCAATCAGTATTCGATTGACATCTCAGATAATGTGACAGATCACGCGCATATATACTTTGACAGCAGCCGGGATCACCGTATGTGTTCCACCCAAGGAGTCATGCCATCCCCTGTGTTCCCCCCAAATCAATGCAAGACTGATATGCATCAGGAAAATCATATGGATCACCTCTCACGGCATGGCTGCGAGTTCCCCTGAGCTGGTATCAATCCCACACCGAGTCTTACTTTCCTGATGAAACCCATGCCACCATTCGTCGGGTCTTTACCCCTCATCATGCACCTCACACACAGCGCATCTTCTGCGGATACTGCGGCACTCCGCTCACATACTGGAGCGAGATTCCGCGAGAGGAGGCGGACTATATGTCTGTGACGATTGGCAGTCTGTACGGCGAGGCTCAACGCATGCTGGAGGACCTCGACCTTCTTCCCGGATCGTCGGATGAAGGCGAAGTAGAGGAGGAAGAGGCCGGGGAAGCAGAAGTGAAAGAGGAGAAGAGAGGCATGACTGTGAGTCCAGCCGAACATACGCAAACTTCATCCGCCCATTCAACAGTGGTCGTGCCTTCGAGGGCTCGCGCGCCTGCCCTGGCTCGGAGCTACCGTCAGGGTACGACGCGGGGTATACCTTGGTTTGAGGAGATGATTGAGGGAAGTCGACTGGGCCGCATAATGAAGACAAGGCGCGGTGTAGGGGTCAGTGATGACAGCTCGACGACAATAGAATGGGAAGTGACTGAGTGGATGGATGAGGGCCCCAGCGAAGGAAGGCAGGCCGGTTCAGAAGATGCGCGAAGCGCCGTGAAACGAAAAAGAGGACATTACGTCGACACCGAAGGACCCGGATCGGCCGCAAAACAAATGTGATGCTAACGGATTTCTACTCACCTTGTAACCGAAAATTTTTGGTGGGCCTTCAATACTCAAGGTATGCACAACAGGAGCATAAGTATACGAAGAAGCTCTGCTCCCCTACCTCCAGATAACAGCAATATGTCCATGTGTCTTGATTTCCATGCTATCATCCCTAGAGTTAGGGTAAGCCTGGGGGCCGACGGACTTGCTGCGTTCCCGTATGTTATGATAAGGTCTCAGAATCAGAAGGTTAAAGAGACAAAAAAAAGCTGCTTCCATGCTAATTGTTTGGTTTCAACTTGCATCTCAAGGAGAGCACTGACGACCTCAAGCAATAAACAAACACAAGTAAGATGACCGTGAATTGGGGGTGCCTGAGGTGTGCTCTCTATCACGTAGTTGCTTTCCCAAATAGGAATCGCCTCGCTTAGGTTGCCTATGCCTACAGTGAAGTGAAGGATATCTTCATCTGCTCTCGCACACTGTGTTCTTTTAAAATAAATCTGTCATTATCTGCATGTCTGCTTGGAAACACTCCATTCCTTTGACCTCCTTGGTAATCATCTTAATATCATATGCCTCTTTGCCTTAGGATTGAGATATCAGCTTAGCTCTCGTTTGGATTCAGAGCAACATTCAGCACCACTGGATAAGTCGTCCTGCTGCCATCTCATCTCTCGTCTTCAGGAGCACCAGCCTTGAACACTTCGTGCATGGTTGTCGTCTTGTGTAGATACTGACTGTGTTCAAACATAGGACAACAAAGGTCGAACAGGTATCCTTCTCTGCTAATCTCCCATTCCTGTGTTTCGATTGCTGGGAAGTAACGCTCCATAAGTCAAACTCTGTGAGAAATAGCCTGTGAGCCGAGATTTTGGCTGCTCGCAAGGCAGTTGGCCACGACTCAAGATGAAGCATGATCCACGTTCAGCAAAGCTGAAAGGGAAGCGCTCAGCTCCCAATCTCAGAACGAAAAGAAGTGCCATCAATATTCCTGCCAGCGGCAGAGCGCGTAAGGCGATCAAGGAAAACTATGTACCAGCTGTTAGGAGCAGAGCATCAGCACCGAACTTGAAGCAAGCTGCAGAGGAGTCGACCCACAAGCCCCCGTCCCCTCCCAGCCAGGCCTCCGAGAGCCAGATCAACGAATCGAATGGCAAGCAGGATGGGGAGTCCAAGCCGAAGGAAGCCCCACGATTTATGCTGTTCACTCCGGCCAAGATTGACCCTGTCGAGTATCGGCCACCGCGTCAATATACAGGTCCTGCTATTCCTAAGATTATGGGGATTGAACCGCTTTTCTTTCGGCCAAAACCGGTCGAGATCAAGAAAGAATCACGAAAAGAGAGGATCCTGAAGGAGATCAGAAAGAGGTATCAAGTCAGGAAAGCCCGCGTGAGAGGCGTCGTGAAGAATCTTAGGAATATCAGAGCGCTCAGGACGTTGCATGCGCTGAAGACTTCTGTAAAGGCGATGCGTAAGGATGCGCAAGAACGGCTTCTCGAGGTACGTGTTGTCAAGGACGTTTGTTGTGAGTTTCAAGGGGACGCTGAGTGGATAGCCTACAGTGCAAGCCAATTTATCATATCAAGGAGATCAAAGAGCTCAGGCGAGCCTCGATGTTCCTTGGTCTACCTAGGCTTCAGAAGAGACCGCTGTCAACTTTGTCTGTACGTGGATATACCTGAGGACTGTGACCAGGGAAGACTCACTCTCAGAAGATAGGAAGTGCCATCACACTGGGCGACTGTCGAAGATACTCTGAAATCTCAGTATACAGCAGAGCGACTGATTCTCCGAAGCTCGCAGAGCTTTTCCCAGAGGCTGGCACTAGTACAAATGTCGAAGATGGACCCGGCCCTACGATAGTGAATGAAGACGAGGACTGCACAGTGCGCCAGTCCCTGTTGTTTTTCTCAGATGTGGCCTCTCTTATTCAAACACATCCAAATTTCAGAAATTCTGGCGAAGACATCACCCAAACTGACACTTTAGCAACCTCTTCCTCTTTCCTTCAGCACCAGAATAGTCGTCCATTTTCACTCTCTTCATCCATCCTTCAATATCACACTTCTCCCAATAACCTCGACGAGGTTTCCCCTCGATCTTCTTTCTCAGATAATTCTTCTGACATAACAATCACTCCACTAAGAATCCACAAAAAAGCCAGCATGCCACCTGAACCAGGTTCGGCGTCAAAAGATCCCTTTGTTGATTCTTCGACTGGTGGCAATCACACCGCAGACGACCCTAATAACCCAGTCTCTGAAGGTAAGGCACTGCTATTTCCATACTCATAACTTTCTTCATCTTTCCATGACTCTGCAATGATGCGGAAGAGCTCCTATCAGTCTCTTCAGCCACCTCAAGCCTGTGGTAGCTGAGGAGTAGCTTAATGGGGACCGTCGTGTCTTTTCCAGCTATCAGCGACTATAACTTATATTTAAGATGCTAATATGTGTTCGTACGCAGGTGTTGTGGAGAATACAACAGATAACGCTGCATCCACTGCAAAATCAGACCAGGACAACACAATCCCTTCTGAGTCTGCAAGACCCGAGGCTCTCAATCAAGGTACGTACGTCCTTCTCACTTGAAAGCTCTTGCTGACATTGCAAAGACAAGAACACTAACAAAGATACACCTCGACACGCAAGCCATGGAACCCGTATCCCTGCCCCGGCTTCCCAGAAGTTGGGCACTGGAGGAAGCCAACAGAAAGGCACCCGAGTGACTTCTGAGCACCGCAGCTCAATTCCTGTTGCGGTCCGCAAGGTTGGCACGGAGCATCAGAATATGCCTGAAGGTGGCTCTAGTGAACACGAGGCTGGTGAGACCCGTGTCACTGAAAGTACTCGCGCGCGTCATGTGTCGCCTTTTCAACATCAAATCAATACTCTGTGGGGGTATATACGAGATGAAGACATAGCAAACGAGGTCTCTCGCTACTCGTCCACATCGTCCTCCAGTGGAGACTGGGATGGTGAGCAGGATGATGAGGACAAGCTTGAGAGGCCCACCGGTTACACTGGCGATAATCGTCGGCCATTCGAGCGATCTGCTCAATGTTTCTACGGACCACGTCTGCAGATCGCGGCGTCGGCGGAAAAAGTTATCATGGGCACCCCAAAGCTGTCTTCGAAATCGTCCCCTGATCTCAAAAGAGACGACCCTCGTACTGCTACACAGGGTAGCCCTCACGACGCACGCCTCGGTGAGCAGAGTTCCAGATCGGTTGAAGGAGGTCATGACGCAAAGGCCAGCCCTGCTGGAACGCCTGAAGCTTCTCGGAACTTTTGCCGCCCCCGGCCTTCTCTTGAGAATATCTCCAGAAGGGACTTCAGTGGACGTGAGCTTTCTATTCCAAGAAAGCCTGTGGGTAGCCCAAGCTTAACCGATCTCCACAATCCCAGTTCGAGCGAACTTCAGGGTCAGCACGTGGTGCCTACGGTGCCCAAGATTCCCGATGAACATAATGCGTTCTTGAACAAGGACAAACCTTTGCCTGAACTGAAAGCTGGCCTTATCTGTAAGGGTACTGGCCAAGGAACAAAAGAAATCACCGGGTCCATGACTGGTGGTGGTCTTTCGGCGCATGCGAGGGTCAAGAGGGTAGCAGCTGCTGACAGCCCGCATCCCACCCGGACGTCCTCTCTACAGTCGATTCCCGCTAGCCAAGGAGAGTCTGCCGTGACTACTCCTCGAACTCCTAGTATACCACACCCAGGCGGCGGAACAGATTTGGGGCGGACTGTGACCTTCGACGATATTGTGCCGGAAACCAAAAATAGCGCACAGCGCGGAAAAGGCCGGTTCCCAGACTCGAGGAGCAATCGCATGCTTGACAGCTTCCGCAACATTTTCAAGCATAAAAATGCCGCTGATAAAGCACGTGTGAAGAATGAAGAGAGCACCGACGCTGCCGTAGAAGAGTCTGGAGACCAGGCTCAAAGCGGCGCAGTCGTTCGTGCTAATAAGGATGTGGGTAAACTGGAATCGGCGACGACAGCCTCCAAGTCGCGAACCAAGTCCCCCAGACTGCCCGAACGAGCTGGTTGGAGCAAGGGTGCTCGCAGCATTAGTGCCCCTATCCATGTCTCTCCCGGAGCGTTCCCGACTCCTACTTCCTCATTATCTTCCATCCCGGCCCTTTCGCCACGTGTCTACGAGGAACACCATACTCCCTCATTTGCTAGGCCTACCAAGTCAACGCGTACTAGAGCGGCCACAAACCCTAGGCTGCAAACCCCTGTTGCTGCAGATGGCCGCTCCCGGAGAACTTCAGCGATGGCAGCTTCTACTGGAAGCCCTCAGCGCTCGACCCGTGTTCCTCGTCATCTCAATGCAGTCACCGGCTCCAAGAAGGCATCCCAGGCCAGAAATATCGCAGAAGAACAGGCAGCGACCTCCCAGTCTCCAGGCCCTGCTTCTTCCCAGACAAACCATGCCTCAAATGCAGATTGGTGGAATCTTCCTAAGGAGCAGAAAGATGAGGAGATCTCTGCCTTCATTCCCCAAATCTTCCGAGAGATATGTGAAGAGACGGACAGGGATAAGAGAGCAGAGATGCTTCGGGTAAGTCTCCTTGCCGTCGTAGAGCTCTTGTGACTGGGCCCTTTCGCTAATGATGCGCACAGGAAACTCTCTCACTCAAGCATCAACTGGATACTGTGAACAACGCGCGTGCGGTTGTTACAGAAGCCGAGGAGACGCTACGCAAGAAATTGGAAAAGAAAACCGTTGCCGAGCGAGCTCTGTACGAGAAGTTCCTTCAAGCTCGGACCAAAGTCGCCTCTTAGAGCGTCAGCTTATGACTTGCACGACTGATGACGATTACGGAGTATCACTTTCACCTGATTTCTGTCTTATGACTGACGAATGAATGAGCAATGGCATTTTTTGCTGTCTTGCGTTTTTGATACCCTGGCCTCGGTCATCGTTGAGCCGATTCACACTTCTCTTTACTTATCTCTTTGTCGACCTTCATTCAACCCTAACTCAGGCTGCATATGATGGTTTCCTTTTCGTTTGTGGTTTCAGTTGCTCCTTCTGCTTGTCTGCTTCTTTGATGTTTCAACTGGGCAAAAAAATCAAAAATCACAAAAAAAAGGCTTCTGTCTGAGTGAACACTGCAGCCCATGTCGTCTTGTTTTTCTTGTTGCTTTCAATGATGAATTAGAAAAGCCGCAAAAACACTACAAAATTTGAAAAAAAAGGGCGTAGCCCTACAAAAGAACTGATCATGAGTAAATGCCTGCCTCATCTTCCACTCAACGAGAAGTGTAGTTGTGCTTCTAAACTGTTCTAAATGTGATTCCCCAAATGAATCGGACTGATGCCCTCTAGAGGCAAAAACACCTATGTTCCTCACGCAACAAGATAGACGGAGGCGACTTTGAGGGCACAAAGGACAAAGAGTCTCAGCTTTGTAGCGACTTGTCTTTCCTGAGAAATAAACATCAAGTCAGAACTACAAAGAATTGTTATGCTTAGGTTGTTCATTCAAGTGGCTTGTTGCATAATGCCCTGCTAGCCAAAGGCTTTCAAAAGATTGTGAATGACCATTGACTGTCAGTGTGCAACAGATCCTTCACGTCGCCCTCTTCTTACCCAGTACTAAAAGTGATAATTACCAATAACCTCCCAACTTCCTACTCTTGCTGCATCAACTCGTCCTGAACTTTATCCTTCGGTATTCTCCATAACAAGCATCATGCGGAAGGAGCGTAAGAATCAGCGTTACCGGGTAAGTCTGTTCTTTCGAGTCTTTTCTCAACATCATCGAAACAATCCTGCTATTAGAGTCTCTTGTGTTTCGAGTCGCTAACATGGCCGAGTGGCAGCCAAACAACTTTGGCAACACGATCAACACGATCAATTTCCCAGACCAAATGAGAGGCCGCACCATCGAGCGATTCCCACCCGTCCCCGTGCAAGACGCAGAACGCTTCTCTAGAGATCCCAGAGTTCCGTTCATGTTTCCTGAGGTCGCGCAAGCACCAGTCCCCAGACCTCGCGTCAACGCGTTCAATAACCAGCCTTTGCCTTATCAGCATCATCAGCCTGTGAACACCTGGGTTCCAGGGCTTCCGGGACCGGTCAATACCGGCCGGCCCACCATGATCCCGCCCAACACAATGATGGCCACTCCACCTGCTGTGTATGCGCAGCCAGGACCTGTCATGACCGGGCGCCCCGTCATGAATCCTGCTCACGCAATGATGAACAGTCCCCCTCCTGGTTATGCGCAGCAAGAGCCTTTCATGGGGCCCCATCCTGCCATGAATCCAACTCATGCAATGATGACTACTCCTCCTCCTATTCTTGCGCAGCGGATGAGGGAGCAGGTTAACCAGTACAAGATGATTCTGCATGACATTCGCACGGCAAGCGGACGACTGGTAAGTTCGATCAAACTTGTTGACTCGCTCCTTCAATCGGTTATTTCGGCTCCTTTGGATACTGACATGTTGTCGAACGCTAGGAGTTCGAACCACCCCGTTTCACACCTCACCCGAGCTTCACGGATTCGCCTCCTCCAGAGGTATACTCGCCGTCTTCAGAGGGAAAGAGTCCCAAGGAGGTTATGTTCGCCGAATCGACTCCGGCCTCGAAGCTTCGTGGGGATGCGCCTGAGTTTGTTCCTGGTAGACCATATGAGGGTAAAAACCAGAAATTACAGACTGAGCGGGGATGGATGATTGTTTCTAGCACGTAGCTTGGGTGTTTCTCCTCATCGACATATCGCAAGAACTTGACGATGTCGTGAACGCTTGAGCTGTGCCGTTGAAGGTCCTGAATCGATTCGGATGGCCCTTTGTCCATATCAGGACTGTACATTGCATGAGGGCATCTATTTAGCAGTCCTTTAAGGATATTGAGTTGATCCAAATGCTATGAAGACATTTCTACTCTTCCCTGAACTGGCGTCCTGAGGGGGATTGTTGAACGGACATAAGGCCGAGTGGAATATGTAGGCTTCAGTGACCGTTCCATATATTTGCCGACCCCCATGGGCTTGAAGTAATTCCCTTAACTTCTGACTATTCCCTTGGGCCTTGAGACCAGAGTCAAGGTATAGATCCGAAGTTCGAACCAGATCTGCCTAACGGAGCGGGCCGGCCATCAATTTTTGTTAAGGTCTTGGCTTTACCCTAGAGCTTCCGAGACGTTGTCGAACTTTTTCCGAGACCTTGCCGAACTGCAACCCGCCCTTTTCTGAACCATAACAACATCTCAAGCTCACCACCCCCAAATTGTATCCACTTGTTGTTGCTAAAACGTCGACAAAATGTCAATATTGTTTGATTTCTACCTTCCTGGCTGCTCTGAACTTCTTCGCCCTCTCTTTGCCCATTAAGGTAAGACCACACACATCCGTACGACCGTACCATCTACCGAAGGCTCAGAGGCTGCATCAACTTATCCGAGAGGCTGAGGTTCTCGGCAATCACTAGTCCCTAGTTGCGCTATGGTATCAATGATCTGCAGGCTTTCATCCTACCGTGGAATGGTCTACTGGGCGCACGGCTGTGATTTATGCTGCCCGATTGCAGATCTATTGATTCGAGCAGGTTGATTTCGCTGACTTGGCGAACCATGTGCCTGCACGTCAGTGAGATACGGTCAACAAAGCGAGAGTCGAACGACTCGAATCACACCGACAATGTCGTGGGTCGAAGTGATTCGACGGATATCCCAATTAACAAGAGTCTATTATTCAATATGGATGTGATATTTGCCAATCGATCAGCCAACGACCCAGCGATTCGGTTTGTACAATATGGCTGAGCTGAGGAGGTTCATTTGGCTAGTGAAATCGTGCAGTTATTCAATGAGCCTGGGCTGCATCTTCTTGCATCTGGACGAGGTCACACTGCGTGCAAATCGGGATTTTTGTCAGCCAGCCTTGCCACTTATTCAGAGATGAACCGGGACACTGCAGCCTTTTACGCTCTTCGGAGATAATAAAGCAATGGATTCCCGCTGTTGTGTTATGTTATCTCACATTGTTGCATTTGCGCTGAGTTGAAATCTGTTCAGTCCTCGACATGGGCTCCTTTCGCGATGGACTGGCTTCTCTAGCCCTGCTTCTGTTATGCTTTGTTTCTTGGGGATCAGCTAGGGTAGTGCGCTTCAAAATCACTCTGACATGGGAGGACTGGGCTCCAGCTGGTATTACTCGGAAGATGATTCTCACCAACGGCCAATTTCCAGCTCCGCCATTGTACTTGCGACAAGGGGACGATGTTGAGTTTATGGTGGATAATCAACTTCCGTTTCCTACCGCAGTCCACTTTCATGGTAAACCTATTCAATGACAACAATTGCTAGACAATGCTGACACCTCTCACCTAATAGGAATTGACCAAACGGGAACGCCTTGGTCCGATGGAGTCCCTGGTCTTTCACAAAGACCAATTCCGTCCGGCAGCAGTTTTCTTTACAAGTGGAATGCTGGACAGTATGGCAGCTATATGTATCACGCTCACAGAAGAGGGCAGATTGATGATGGCTTATACGGAGCGATTTATATCCGTCCTGCTGACGCAGTGGAGAAGCCCTTCAGGTTGATAACCAATTGTACGCGTGAAGTCAAGGCCATGCGTCGAGCTGAAGAAAGAACAACCCCCATACTGCTAAGCGACTGGCGCCAGTTGATATCCGAGGAGCTGTGGCGCGCGGAAGAGGCAAGTGGACTAGACGCATACTGTGTGAATGCGTTATTAGTCAATGGAAGGGGTTCGGTACAGTGTCTGGACCGCCATACATTAGATCAGTATAGTGCGGCAAAGTGGGCATTTCTGGGAAATTTTTCGCTGACTGATATTGGGTACGTGTGAAAGGAACACGGCACTTCAAGTTATTGATTTGGAGCTGACTTTCCCAGCTGCGCGCCTCCGACGAGTCCACTGCTCCAAGGAAGCTTTCCACATAACTTTAGTGCCATTCCACCGACAGTGTACTCTGGCTGTACGCCGTCTCAGGGCTTGACCGAGCAACTCCTGGTTGATCCACTCGCTTCGTACGCCAGCTTTGACCTAATTAGTGCGGCTGGTGTGTCAACACTCACTTTCTCAATCGACGAACATCCCATGTATATATACGCCATCGATGGAAGATATATCGTCCCAGTTCGAGTGGATGCCGTCACCATTGCCAACGGAAACCGTTATTCAGTCATGGTGAAGCTGGATAAACCGGCTGGTGACTACACTGTGCGTATAGCGAACGCCGGAATCAACCAACTTATTAGTGGCAATGCAAGCATGCTTTACAACACGCCTTTCAAAGCTCAACCACGTCCTTCACAGCCATCAATCGACATCACCGGCGCAAACACAACAGCGGACGTCGTGATATTCGACGAGAGTATGGTGATCCCTTTCCCTGTGGAGGTACCGGCGCAAGAGGTTGCTCAGACCTTCTTCCTAGACGTCGCCCGGTTTAACGCGTCCTACCGCTGGGTGCTTAGAAACTCAAGCTTCCCGCTCTCCGTGGAGGAATCACCTCCGCTTCTGTTCAATCCCTCCGCCGCCAAGCCCGACCTCTCGATTTCAACTCGTAACGGGACCTGGATCGATCTCATCTTCAGAGTGGTCGGCCTTTTACAGCCACCACACCCTATTCACAAGCACTCGAATAAGTTTTTCGTCATTGGTCAAGGAAATGGAGTCTTCAACTATACCTCAGTGGCCGAGGCGATGAAGTACATTCCGGAAAGCTTCAACTTTAAAACCCCGCAGATACGGGACACATTCGCAACGCCTCCCAGTGTATCTGGTCCCACTTGGTTGGC